GCGAACACAATGCAACAATAACCTTAAAACTGAAATGGTTAAATCGTGGAAAACCACTGCAGCCATACAAAAGCCTTTATGATGTCGCTTTGGCGACTCGCTCGCTGGATTTTGTGCCGACCGGTTGTGCCCTCGCGATCTCCGACGACAGCGCAGTTCTGGCCGACTGGACTCGCCCAACGCCATCTCCTGACGCCGACAAGAGCTCTCGTAGAGTGGTGCCCCGTCCTCGGACTCCTGCGACCGTGTCCATCTTTCTTATCTTCTCTTTCCTTCCGTCGCTCGCTGCCCCTGAGCCTCGCTCTCTTGTTCCTCTCTCTATATATCTTTTTAATCCTATACATTTAATCCCTCCTTACCCCCATCCCTTGTGAGCTACTGTTGAGGTGTCGCACTCTGATGCAGACACTTACGGGGCTCATTTTACTCTTCTTTTCTTTTTAAAAACCACATAAAATATTGCTTTGGCAACTGTACAGCACAGCTTCTCGTTGCTTAGCGTGTCGCATTCACCATCACGAAGGGCGAGAGCACGATGGCCGCGTGCCAGCAAAGGAAGTCGGCAGTCATATTGGAGAACCTTACTACATAATCTGTGAGCAAGTCCAGATCTGAAATGTTACTCCAGTGAGGCGCAAATAAGCAAATTAATGCACTATGGAAGGTACGCCACGAAACCACAACACAAGTGTGAGCGATGCCTCGTTGACCCGGTAATGGCCAAACTAAACACAGGCCCTCAAGCAGATTACCTGCATACGCTCCTGTTTTATGACACTAGACCTAAAATTGAGGCAATCAATGATTCGTCAAATAGTCAGATAAAAGGTAAAGAAAATTTACAGTTAATTTTGGCATATATAAAATTACGGCTGTTTGAAAAAAAATATATTGACTTTTTGGTTTTGGTTATTTGGCCCCTCCTCACTTAGTCGCACTTCAATCGTCGATGAGCGTTCATGCCTGTGGCAAAAAATTTTCGGCATTTTTCATTCCTTGTTTAGTGACCAATATGATTTGACCATACCTACTCTGCAAGGCGGTTGTTCCCTCTCCTGCAAGGCGCAGGAGTCGAACGCATGTGGCCGTAGCATTTTCAGTTTTTTTAAGCGAATTGTTACAATTCCTGCTTTAGTGGTTAAGCATGCTATCTTAGACATTCTCGCTTATTTTACCTTGGTTTGCAGTAGGGCTAGCATTGCTTTAGTGCTTATCTGTGAGCGCGAACATGCCACATGAAGTTGAACGACAGGCTAGACTACTATATTGCTGTGCATTTAAAAATTACCGCGCATCAACGCGCATGGACAAATGAAGTGTCAATGAGCTGGAGAGCGGAACGGTTTTCTCGTATTAATGAAGATGTGCATCTGAGAAAGGGGTAATAAATTGGTGAGAAAAGAAGTGATAAATTTGAGAGTTTTTTATGTTCTACCAATTAATGATGAGAACTAACATATACTATGGTGCAAAAAACAAAGTGGGGGATGTAATAGAAGTAATTGTAATTTAAATGCCAAAGAAGAAAAATGGACGAAAGGACAACTTGTCACTGACATATTCTGAACCTACGACCTTCGAATTACGCGTCTAATGATTTACAAGCTGCGGTGCCGGTCATCTTTCCGTTCAGTTTATAAGGTAAATATGTGCATTTAAATATGGGAGAGGGAGCTGCCAGCTCTATATAAAATCAGGTGCTACATGACGCCAACTGGCAGGAACGAAGAGTTTTCCTCACTTGGTGTAATGGCTACTGGTGGCACTGAATAACGCTATCTGAATAAAGTGCACTTATATACACTATATAGTGAACGGAACGATGACCGCGGCCGTACCTCAGCGATAAAGCATCAGATGCGGTATTCCAAGGTCACAGGTTCATTACCTGCCGGTCAAAAGTTATCTTTTCGTCCTCTGCTTTCTTCACACTTGATTTACAATTACTTCTAATAACATCCCCCATACCCTCTTTGGCAGCATTTTGTGTTGGTTCTCGATATGCATCTAGTAATATTGGCCACAACGTGATCCGATACAAGGCCTGCGGAAAGCGTTTCAATTTAGAAAAGCTAGTTTGGAGCTCACAGTTGCATGTCTTTTTGCGGCCGCCGTATGTGAGTGTCAATTTCTATTTGCCCTTTGAACCATAGCTCATAGCCACTCTACTCCCATATTTTGCACGTGCCCATTAACGTTTTTTTATTATAGTCGCAATACACCCAGTTAAGAATATACGACCGCCATAGTGATCTTCATTGTTATGAGTGAATTTGAAAGAAGTGCTATGCCATCATTGAAGCAGTGCGAAAAACAAAGACGATATAGATATTCTGGCGCACGGTTGCTATTTTATTTGATTGATATGTGGGGTTTAACGTCCCAAAACCACTATATGATTATGAGAGACGCCGTAGTGGAGGGCTCCGGAAATTTAGACCACCTGGGGTTCTTTAACGTACACCCAAATCACGGTTGCTATTTCGTTCTTGCAACGCTTTAATATTGCAGAAGCACGAAATTACTATTGCTGTATATCCCATGGCCTTGAAAATTGATGTTCGTAATCGCTTTTTTCAATTGGAGTTCAGACTACGATGTACAGCCCAAAATAAGCTTGTCATGTTTGGCACTATGATAATTCCAGCAACTAACTGTGAATTATGGTTCTTGCTATGTTTTCTTGCACATACAAATATAAAGAAAGCACAACCTCTGAGATAATGCATAGGAGCCCTGCTTCGTCGAATATACGTTGTGATGGCAAGTTTTGAGGGAACTCACAAAAGTTGTAGGTGCCAGCAACAGTATTTGGCAATTTTAGGTGTAGAGCTCTTTAGAGGCCCGGGTCGTCGTATGATGTCGTATGCTGGGATCGTCAATTGGCGCAATGCAGGCGAAACCACGCATACTATAGCCATCTGTCGCATACTGAGCACGTCTTGTCTTGTCTTGTCGCCTTGAAGATCTTGGCTCATACCCACTAGTGGGATTGGCCCCACTGTACCTTATAATATATACTTTTTGTAAAACGCTTGCTAAAAAAGAGAGAAATTAGATAAGAACAATAACAATGTTCCTTTGAAAAAAAACGTGAAAAAGTGCAAAGGAATTCGATAAACCAGAATATATAAAACAAATTAACAAGAATCAGAATGCAGACAAAGAATTTGATTTATCTGGCAGTACCACTAGCAGCTTATCCGTCCGGTTGACTGCATGAATTGATGTAGTGCTGACAGAATAGCACTGCGGCCCGCACCCAACTAACTAGCTCCAAACGATAATAGGGTGGATGTATTAAATGGCTATTCGAGCGTACCAATCGGTCTCTGAAGAATTATTGGGCGCAGTGAGTGGCAGTGGCAGCATGTGAAAACAAATTGATATATTGTTTCCGGTTCATTGCAAACTGCACATAGGTTTGTTAATGAAAATCCTGATTTGCGGAGATAAACATTCAAGCGAGGAACTCTACAGCGAAAGCTTGTGAGGGTCACCTCACACTAACGGGAAAGGCATTTTGCGGTGTTCCGTGTGAATTGCAACTGCCGAAATTCTTCAGACTGTTAGAACGATGTTTCGTTGATTTTTAAGATTACCAGGCGTTTGAATCGTTCGGCAGTAATAAAAGGAAATTGTGGAGCTACTAGCACCACCAGGAAATTTAAAGATGCTGAAGCGAGCGAATCAGTCATTTCATTTAGTACAATTCTAGCATGCCCGGGGACCCAAATAAACCGAACTTCCAATAAACTATGCGGTGCAAGAGACCAAAATATCCTGAAAAGTGGAGACTGCTTTGCGGAAGTTAGATGTGTACATGCAAACAAAACATCCAAAATAATAATAGCTTTTGATTGCTGAGACTTTTGTTTTTGAAGAGCCAATGTAATAGCTAGGCATTCACGTGCTTTCATCAAGAAGGCTTCTTTCTCTTCGTGCGGTTAGGTGATGGTTTTAAGTGGGGGCATCTTAGGGCTCTTTAGGCCCCACGCACTTGACCTCATGCTGAGCGATTCACATTAAAACTATTTGAAAAAATCATCCAAACAATATTGTTGGGCAAGCCCTTTGGTTGAAGTCCTACCATGACGGCCGCGTACGTGTACACTACTACGACTACTGCAATGCTAGCGCCACATTAAATTAGATTATGGGAATACCTTTGATACGTACTACATGCTCTTTTTGATGTTCTGCCAGTCGTGCTGGTCTGCACGTGAAAATGTCACTTCCACTGAAGTTTAAATCACGGAACAGTTTTACCTAACAAAGAAAAAGTTTAGCTGAAGACGCTGCATCAGCACTCCCTCCTACAAGACGGACGTTAAAAACGAATCCAGACAGCGCTGCCCATAGACAGGCCCCACATCCGAATTAAGACCCACCGCAAGAAATAAGAGTCATAAACAATAAAACAACTCTGTCAGGCATGACATTCACCAGCACCTCACAAAGCACACAGCTACACGCATGGCAGCGCGTGTTGTTAGGTGCGTTTTATGTGCCAAGAAAAATAAAGGGAAATCCGGCCTGCTGGCTTAGGTGGAAAGAGAACCGAAGCAGACGGTGCATTTTGAACAACAAAAAAGAAAGAAAACACCTGCCAGTGTGCGTCGTAATGATCGGTGTGCAAAGGCCTGACACACCCACCCCTGCCTTTCTTGCCTGACATCCTCTTTACAACCACGGCTGAGGTAATACGTGGCTGCGATTCTAATTCGGGATTTTTCGTGCGCCACGCAAACCGACCTCTGCTATTTTTTCTCACACTTGGGAGGTGTTTTCTCTCTCTGTGTCGCTTTGATTCCCTTTCGCACGCGCGTTCAACCCACACACGTTTGGCGTGATGGAAGGTGTGTACAAACACATGCACGCACATTTTATGTCGCCGTCGACCCCGTCCCACTCTCCCGACCAGCGACGTCACTTCCACCTGCTGAGAGTCTATTTAAAACGCCAAGCGAGACTCTTGCTTTACCTGTGGTGCCATAACATCGGCCAAAGAGCAACCAGAGTCGACAACACCGACAACCTTGTTTTCAGACCCAGGAGAAATCAGGGGGACGCGCTCACATCGCGGCGGGTGAGAAAGTACGGGCTTGCCAGCTGCGTCATTGTCACCCCGAGGACTCGAAGGGTGTGCCAAGGTCTCAGAGAAAACATCCAAGACTTCACTGGTGACGCTCACGGGAAACACTCAATCCTGCAGGAACGCCAGCTCGGCCCAGCATCATTCGAGTAAGGTACTTGCCATCACGCGCTGCCCACATCTGACGCCCCGAGAGTCTACGAGCAAGTACTGGTTATGGCTGACAACAACAGCATTCCGCACGAGGCAATTATCCCCATCGTTTTCGACGGCAAGAGACACTTTCCCGGCAAGCAGCAACTGGCAGGCTCATGCCACATTTTTCAGATGGTCGAGCGCAAAGAGCCTCTGGTTCCACTGGATGAAGACCCACTGCAGCGAGAGTGGGAGGAGTTCATTGAAGATTTCCCACAATGCAGCAGGTAATTACTTCATTGTGGTTGCGGAGCTTCTTAATGAAAACAAATACCCACAAGCGCAAAATTTTTGCGGCTCTGTCATATAGCTTTGTTCAATACAGCTATCTTTACGAGGCACATAACTGCACACCTCTTCAACACGAGGTGCGTCGTTCACGCGCGCAGAAGTAGGAGTTAAGGGGCTCCTAAGTTCAAGGGTGGCCGTGAGTTTCTGGGGCCGTCGGACAAGAGAGTGCTCACACGGTGATTGAGCGGGATTCCCTATATACTTACTTGTCCTTTTGCAAGGTGCTGTACTTAGTTGCACACTTTTTAACCTTACAATGAATGCTTTGTGCTTGTGCATTCCTCGCAATATGTTTTATTGTACATATGTCGATGACGTCCAGCTTGGTTTCAAATCTTGTAATCTGGCCATGTGCGAGTGGCAGATTCAGCTTGGTTTGAACAAAGTATCCAAATGGGCCGAAGAAAACGGGTTCCGACTGAATGCACAGAAAAGCACGTGTGTCTTGTTCTCCAGAAAGAAAGGCATTTATTCAGAACCCAATATTCAGCTGCATGGGCAACGTCTTTCTGTTAATACTGAACAGAAATTCTTAGGCCTAATCATAGACACCAAGCTAACCTTCATACCACACATCAAATATTTAAAAAAACAAGTACATAAAAGCTATGAACATTCTCAAAGTGTTATCATGCACTACGTGGGGAAGCGACAAGAACTGTTTAATGAATATGTATAAAAGCCTCGTACGTACCCGCCTAGACTATGGGGCAATAGCATATCAGTCTGCGACACCTTCTGCCCTTAAAATGCTTCACCCTGTTCATCATCCAGGCATCTGTCTCTCCACGGGTGCTTTCCCCACTTGCCCCATGAAAAGCCTGTACGTGGAATCAAACGAATGGTTGCTCTACCTACAGAGATGTTACATGTCTTTTAAGTATTATCTTAATGTGAATGCAGACGAGAATCACCCATAACATTCCACCATTAATGACATGTCAAGCCTTGCTGTGTTTGAGAAACGGCCTTCTATGAGACAGCTCTACTCACTCCGTGTGAGGGGCCTAGCGAAGGAAACCGGTGTGCCACTTGAGCACCGTTTGGTGGCTCCCGCAGTATGCCTCCCAACGTGGCAGTGGCAGGCGATAGATTGCAACTTGTCTTTCTTAGAGGTTACAAAGCATGCGCCAATTGCACATATTTAGACATACTTCTTAGAACTACAACATAAATACGCATGTGCTGAGTACTTTACGGATGCCTATAAGTCCGACACTTCTGTCTCGTACGCAGCCGTTAACTCATCGTTTTCGGAAGCCGGCGTTCTGCACTCTCATACAAGCATTTTCACCGCCGAAGCTTATGCGATACTAGCGGCCGTTAAACACATTAAAGAAATAAAACTACAGAAGTCAATAATATATAAAAATTTCCTAAGCGTATTAAAAGCTCTGAAAACTCTTAAAAACACAAAATCGCTGTCTTCGTCTCGCTTTATTCACTCTTTTGCACAGCCTACTCATCTAAGCAGCGTGTTGTAGTCTGCTGGGTTGCAGGACACCAAGAAATTCAAGGCAACGTCCTGGTGGACTAGCTAGCAGGATCCGCCAACAAAACCACTTCCAATACATCTATACCAGATCCTGCACTCGACTGGAAACCTTTTCTAAAACGAAAGCTCAGTGGCTTTTGGCAGAGCACATGGGGCACACACAATTGCACATGGGGCTTACACACATGGGGCACACACGCAAATAGCATGTCATCAAGCCGCAACCTGGTCATTGGCCGTCAGTATCAAACTCACGCCACACCGAAGTAATCCTTACAAGGTTAAGAACAGGACATACACACATAGCACATTCATTTGTTTTGTCTAAAGGGCGATCCACCTTTGTGTGATACATGTGGAGAAACACTCACCATACTTCACATTCTAATCCAGTGTAAAGAATTAGACACGCTGAGAAGACAGCACTTTCCGTTACCCTACCCTCAACAGATAACACTTCATCCTACAATGTGCGTCAGTAGGGAACCACTTTTTACACATAAGTCCTTATTAGCTTTTTTTAGAGAAGTTCATACTTTTAATATTATATACCCGGGCATTCCGTAGCATGACCTCTCTCGAGAGGTGTCCGCTGCGGTGGCTACACTTGCCTCACGGCCCTTGGATGCAAGGGTGTGAATGATGGAGGCACTTGTGCTAAAGCCATACATGTTCATCATCGTTTATATTGCTACGGAGAGGAAGAAAAGGAAGAGGTGCGACTGACAGGCGCGCGACTGGGCCAATCAGCCATTGTGTCTCTTGCCTGTAGTTTTTACTCTGCAAATACATCTCGCTCAGAAGCAACCAACCTCGTAACATATTGGTGAGAGGTGCTGGGTAACCATCAGGCAACGGAGCTCCGCAGCGGACGTCGCATCGCCCTTCCAGCCATGGCCAATGCTCAGCCCTCCGCGTCAACGTCAGCGTCTCCGACGAACATGGCGTCGCAACCGTACGTTTTCACGCCTCTCAAGGATCCCGGTACATTCTGCGGAACCGATGGCGTCGACGTTGACGATTGGCTGGCCATGTTTGAACGAGTGAGTGTGCCGAACAGATGGGATCCCACACTTCAGTTGGCTAATGTGCTGTTCTATTTGAGAGGCACGGCCAAGGTGTGGTATGAGAACAATGAAGAAGAACTCACAAGCTGGGACCAATGCAAAGCAAAGATGCGGGAGGTGTTTGGCAAAACCGCCAGTCGGAAGATCGCCGCCAAAAAGGAATTGGCCTGCCGTGCCCAATCCCCTACGGAGTCATACCTCGCTTACATTCAAGACGTGCTGGCCCTCTGCCGAAAGGCCGAAAGCGACATGACAGAAGGTGACAAGGTGGGACATGTTCTGAAAGGGATTGCCGACGACGCGTTCAATCTCCTGATGTGCAAGGGCTGTTCCACCGTAGACGCGATCATCAAAGAGTGTCGTCAGTTCGAGCAAGTGAAAAGTCGCCGCATTCTACAAACATTCGCTCGACTCCCAAACACCGCTGCAACATCTACTTGCGAGGACCAGTCAACACCACAACGTGCATCGCCGCCGGGAGACCTTACACGCATTGTTCGTCGTGAACTGGAAGCTATGGCGCCCTCGGCGTTCTATTCGCGCAGTACCGATGCCACTCCTGTTACTGTTCCTCTTGTTCAAGCCATCGTGCGCCGGGAGCTTGAAAACATCGGAGTGCATTCCGTGTGCCATGTCACCGCGCCTAGAGTCAGCGAACGCCCTTTCGTGATGCCCTTCTCCGACCGACGGTCTTCTCCACGTACTCGCAACCCGGCTGAGTGGCGAACTGCAGATGACCGCCCTATATGTTTCAACTGCCACCGCGTTGGACATATTGCCCGTTACTGCCGCAACACATGGTCCTCGGCACATCGCGCAACGACCAATATGACCCGTTTCGACGATACCGCCCGCACCTTTCCACCTGCCGAAGAGCCCAATGCCATTGACCATTCTCGGAACACTTGGTACAGCCGCTCGCCTTCACCACGTGGGCACCAGTCTCGATCGCCGCAAACACGTCGCCCATCGTCCCGTTCGCCGCAGCCACGGCGCTTCTCGTCCCCCGTGGCTTCCGGCCGCGTTGTCTCGGAAAACTGAGAAATGCAGCCCCCGGAGGTGGTGCTGCATTGACGACTTCCGCAGCAAATCCTCTTTCCGTTCCCACCAGACGAAGTGTAATAGACGTTAAAGTAGACGGCGAACCTGTACAAGCACTTGTCGACACCGGCGCAAGCATTTCGGTCATGAGTTCAAGCCTACGCACACGTTTAAAGAAAGTTCTGACACCAGCGGCTGCACAAATGCTCCGTGTGGCCGATGGCGGCACGCCGATGGTTCTCGGTCTGTGCACTGCCCGCTTACGTATAAAGGACCACACTACTTCTGTCATTTTAGCCGTGATTGACCACTGCCCTTATGACATTATCCTAGGCCTGGACTTCTTGTCGAATCATTCTGCTCTGATCGATTGTGCTACAGGCGTTCTTCAGCTAGAGTTGCCTCAGATAGTCGCTGACCCCCCCACTGCCCCGCCGCGCCTGTGCTCTCTTCAGGATGTGCGGCTGTCAGCTCAGGCAGCCACCTTCGTCGTTTTGACCGCACAGCCCCAAGTTCCCGATGGTCAATATGTCCTCCTTCCTCTCGCCGACGTCCTCTTGAGCCGCAACATTGCCATTCCCCATACGCTTGTGACTGTTACTGACAATTGTACCTCGCTTCCACTTCTCAATTTCAGCTTGTGCCCTCAAGTGCTTCCTCGTGGCATGTTCTTGGCCAGCGTATCTAATGCTGACGAATTCGAAATAGCAGCGCTCACCACCGAGATTGATTTACTTCAGTCTCCAGTAGCGAACAGCACCTGTTCTCGGCCAGATCGTTTCTCGAAGATGATTGCACCCGACCTCAACCCTGCGCAAGCCAATGACATCCATCGCCTTCTCGCATCATATACCGACATTTTTTCTTTCGACGACAGACCTCTAGGGCAAACATCCACTGTTCAGCACCGTATAAATACTGGTGACGCCAGTCCTATTCGCCGACGCCCCTATCGTGTCTCCCCCACTGAGCGTAGAGTTATCCAAGCAGAAGTGGACAAAATGCTCAACAAAGGTGTCATAGAACCATCAAGTAGTCCTTGGGCCTCCCCTGTCGTCCTTGTGAAGAAAAAAGATGGTACCTGGCGCTTCTGCGTTGACTATCGCCACCTAAACAAGATCACACGAAAAGACGTGTACCCGCTACCACGCATCGATGACGCGTTGGACTGCCTACACGGGGCTACATACTTCTCGTCTATAGATCTCCGGTCCGGCTACTGGCAGATTTCTGTCGATGAAATGGACCGCGAGAAGACGGCCTTCATTACACCAGATGGTTTATACCAGTTTAAGGTCATGCCTTTTGGACTATGTAACGCCCCTGCCACATT